TCCCCTTGGCGACGCGAGGTGCGGATGGGGGGGGGCAGGAGAGCGGAGGGGGACGGCGAGAGGAAGAGATGGCCTCTCCTCCATTTTTTTTGTTATTGTTGTTGTTGTTGTTGTTGTTGTTGTTGTTGTTGTCGTTGTTGTTGTTGTTCTTGTTGTTGTTGTTGTTGTTGTTGTCGTTGCTGTTGTTGTTCTTCTTCTTATTCTTGTTGTTGTTGCTGTTGTTGTTGCTGTTGCTGGTGTTGTTGCTGCTGTTGTTGTTGCTGTTGTTGTTGCTGCTGTTGTTGTGGTTGTTGCTGTTGCTGTTGTTGTGGTTGTTGTCGTTGATGTTGTTGTTGTTGATGTTGTTGTTAGCGACGCTTGCTGGCGCTGATATACACGGAGTAATCGAACTCGATTGCGCCGTGTATCCGATACACGGAGTAATCGAGTGCGAATACTCCGTGTATCCAATATACAGGTTCCAATAGGAATCCAATTATAATTTGCATCGGATACACGGAGTAATCGAGTTCGATTACTCCGTGTGTCCGATGCACGGAGCAATCGAGTGCGATTATTCCGTGTATCAAAAATACAGGTTCCAATTGGAATCCAATTAGAATCTGCCTCGGATACACTGAGTAATCGAGTTCGATTATTCCGTGTATCCGATACACGGAGTAATCGAGTTTGATTACTCCGTGTATGCCGGCGCCAGGAGGCGTGAACGGTTTGTTGTTGCTGTTGCTGTTATTGTTGTTGTTGCTGCTTTTGTTGTTGATGTTGTTGTTGTTGTTGTTGTTGTTGTTGTCGTCGAATTCGCATTTCTGAAGAACAATTATTGTTGATCCCCCCCACCTGTGCATACTGTTTTTTTCTCAATCACAGTATGCCCCTCGACGCTCGCACCCTGTTTTTTGAAAGGGAAAGTCTTGATGCTCAAACTTCGCCCCTGGCCCCCGGGTTACAACAACAACGGCTCCCGCCTGAGACTTCCTCACAATTTAGCCAGGACCCCCCCTCCCGCCCGAGACTTGGTCGCATTTTATTCAGGCATCGCGCTCTCGCTGAGGACTTCCTTACAATTTATTCCCCTACAATTTACTTAGGAATCGCTCTCCCGGCGCTCTGGAGTCGCGCTCTCGCTGGAGATTTGCTGGCATTTTACTGACGAAAAGCTCCCTTGCGTTGGAATTTCTTGCAATTTACTCCAGCGCCGCGCTCCCGACACCCAGGCACCCAGGAGTCGCGCTCACGCTTAGGACTCCCTCACAGATTACCTAGGAATCGGGATCTCGCTGCCCTTCGTGGCTCCGTTGCAGCCCTTCGTGGCCCCCTCGCTTTGTTTCGTGGCCCCGTTGCAGCCCTTCGTGGCCCCCTCGCTTGTTTCGTGGCCCCGTTGCAGCCCCTCGTGGCCTCCTCGCTGCCCTTCGTGGCCCCGTTGCAGCCCTTCGTGGCCCTCTCGCTTTGTTTTGTGGCCCCGTTGCAGCCCTTCGTGGCCCCCTCGCTGCCCTTCGTGGCCCCGTTGCAGCCCTTCGTGGCCCCGTTGCAGCCCTTCGTGGCCCCCTCGCTCCCCTTCGTGGCCCCGTTGCAGCCCTTCGTGGCCCCCTCGCTGCCCTTCGTGGCCCCATATATGTATGCCCTTCGTGGCCCCGCTGGTTCGCGCCCGTGGTGGCCCCATATGCATGCCCTTCGTGGCCCCGCTGTCGCCCTTCGTGGCCCCGTTGCAGCCATTCGTGGCCCCGTTGCTGCCCTCAGTGGCCCCGTCCTTGCCCTCCGCGGCCCAACATACGTATGCCCTTCGTGGCCCCCGCTCGTTCACGCCCGTTGTGGCCCCATGTTCATGCCCTTCGTGGCCCCGCTGTCGCCGTTTGTGGCCCCCTCACTGTCCTACGTGGCCCAGTTTCTGCCCTCAGTGGCCCCATCGTTGCCTTATGTGGCCCCGCATTATCTGCCCTTCGTGGCTCCCGCTCGTTCGCGCACTTCGTGGCCCCATACGCATTCCCTTCGTGTCCCCGCTGTCGCCCTTCGTGGCCTACTTCGTGTCTTTCGTGGCCCTGCTGTCGTTCTCTCTCGCTCTCGCTTTCGCTGGTCGTCGTCGTTGTCGCCGTCGTCGTCGTCGTCGTCGTCGCCGTCGTCGTCGACGTCGTCGTCGTCGTCGTCGTCGTCGTCGTCGTCGTCGTCGTCGTGGTCGGTCCCCTGTCCGTCCCTCTTGGGGTCGGGTCGACGGTCCGCGGCCGCCCCGCCGATCAGCGTTGCCGCTGGCCAGGCCGACGGTCCGCGGCCGACCCGCCGCTTGCCGGGGCCCGGCCTGCAGGGAAGAAAGGTATACCCCCCAAAAGGGGTTCGATCGAAGACGAAGAGGGTGGGTATCGAGGGTTTGGGAAATACGTGTTATTGGACACTCGAGCAGATAAGGGCGGACAGTCTTAAACTGATTGTTGTTGTTGTTGTTGATGATAATGTTTTTGTTGAATACTCATTTCTAAAGAACAATTCTTTTGGTTTCCGGAAACGGTTCCGCGCGCTCTCGCCTCGACGCCGGCTAAATTTTCTCTGAAAACGAGGCTCCTGCTCGAGCGTTGGCTTGGCCCTAAACGTGGGCCCTTGGAGGCCCAGCTGCGGCAACAACGGCTCCCGCTCGATACGTCCTCAACATTTACCCCGAGACACCCTGGCCAGAGAGGCCCCCGAACTCAGGAACGGCGCTCTCGCTCGAGACTTCCTCGCAATTCAAGTAAGTTGGCGGAGGCCCAGTCACGATGACAAGGGCTCCTGCTTGATAGTTCCTCACGATTTGCTCCGAGAGCCCCTGGCCGAGAGGGCCCCCGAACTCAGGAACGGCGCTATCGCTCGAGACTTTCCCGTAATTCAGGCAAGATGGTGGAGGCCCGGACACGGCGACAATGGCTCCCGATCGATATTTCTCCATAGGTATTCCGAGAACCCCTGACCAGAGAGGCCCTCGAACTCAGGAACGGCGCTCTCGCTCGAGAATTCTTTGCACTTCAGTCAGTGGCCGACGAGGAAGAGATTCCCCCCGAAAGGGGATGCAATCGAAGACGAAGTGGGCGGGTATCGAGGGTTGGGGTATACGGAATGCAAGACACGCGTGCCAGTAAAAGCGAGCAGTCTTAAATTTATTGTTGTTGTTTTTCTTGTTTTTTTTTCTTGTTGTTGTTGTTGTTGTCGTTGTCGTTGTCGTTGTCGTTGTCGTTGTCGTTGTTGTTGTTGTTGTTGTTGTTGTTGTTGTTGTTGTTGTTGTTGTTGTTGTTGTTGTTGTTGTTGTTGTTGTTGTTGTTGTTGTTGTTGTTGTTGTTGTTGTTGTTGTTGTTGTTGTTGTTGTTGTTGTTGTTGTTGTTGTTGTTGTTGTTGTTGTTGTGGTGGTGGTGGTGGTGGTGGTGGTGGTGGTGGTGGTTGTTGGTGTTGTTGTTGTTGTTGTTGATGATGTTGTTGTTGTGACGCGGGCTTTTGGTGATCTCGACCCTTTCTCCTGGGCTTGCTTTTCATCTTGAATCACGGGCCGGGGTCTGACCTCCAGAGGACGAATTCGGCTACGCGTAAGGGTGGCCCTTCGCCAGAGTGACCTGTGGTGCGCGGCTGTTGGGGGCCGCGAGACCCAAGTGCGCAGGTCGCCCCCCAAAGCGGTCACCCTTCCCCCATGGCCGCCCTTGCGCGCAGCCGCCGACAGCGCGGCAAACCGGCTGTCACAATTTTTGGTTGGCGGCGACGGCCAGATCTGGAGGGGAGGGAGGCGGTGGGAGGGCTCAGGGGGGGGAAGGGCCAGGTGCAGGGAGGGGTCAGGGGGAGCGGAGGGAAGGGGAAGCCAATGCCTTGGGGTGAACCAGCGCCTGCATGACAAGAGCACGGATTTACAGCTCGATTTGGACTGCCCGTTGCCTCGAGACTGTGAGGTGCATCTTGGCCCGGAAGGGCTGCCCGTCCCCAGAAATTCGACGTCGTGATTTTTTCGCAACGTCGACTACCTGAGGTCTGGATCTTTTTCGCAGGGGCCGGTGCTTCATGCGAGGCCGGAAACTGCCGAAAGGCTCCCGTCTTGGGCGCGAATTCATGGGGGGGCGATACACGGCAGGGCAGCGAAGGTTGCAGAAAAGAGGCTCTTTAGGGCCTCTCAAGGGGCCCTTTGGGGCCCAAGAGGGGGCCTTTCGGGCCCCCAAATGGCACCTGTCTTCCTCCGTCGCTCATTGTCCCCGATCAATTCGCGCCCAATCGTCGTGTCCCAATTCGTGCGTCCGAAAGCTCTCCAGAAGCTCCTCCGGATGCTCCTTCCAAGTGCTCTCGGATGTTTTTCGAGAGGCCTATGGACGGCCTCCTGGCGTTCCTCTATGCTGGTTTTGTCAAGGGCGGGAAATCCACCCAGACCCGATATTTGGCGTTTATGAAACGGCTCGGGGCGTTTGCTAAACAGACCTGCCCTGCTCCATTCCCTCTGTGGGTGCCTTGACGAGACGGTTTCGCGTGTCGGGGTGGCTTCTATGGGGATCTTCTGCCCTCTGTTTTGGGCTCCACGGGCCTCCCTCCCCCTTCGGCCCTGCCTGCCTGCGCCCTGTCTCCCCAATTAGGGCTACTCGCGTCCCGTTTAGCTCTTGACCGGAAGGGGCCCGCTCCCGACCCGCAGACCAAAAAAGTTCTGGACTCCACGGGCGCACCGCCTCCCCCCATGGTTGCCGCCTGCCGCAGCACTGGGAGCCAGTTCCCCGCGTTCGTTGGGGGCCATGCGTACCACGCCTCCGCCTCCGCCTCCGCCTCCTGTCCACCATGATCATCGTACGTATCGCCTCCGCCTCCGCCTTCTCTCCTCTGGCACCACCAAGTAGTAGCAACAAGTCGTGCGCGCCCAGTCGTCGTGCCTCTCCACATCGCGAGGAGGTGCGGCTCCTGTGCACAGGTCGCCCCGCCGCGCTCCCGGCGCGGGCCCCGCGCCGCGCCGCAGGCGGGCCTGGAGGCGCCGACGCGGCCGCGGAGGAGCTGATGCGGGAGTACGACGCGCGCTGGCGGAGGACGCGGGCGGGAGGGTGTGCGTCGAGGGGAAGGGTAAGCAACGGCATGTAGATAATGACTATTGAGATTGCTACCAACAATAAGGATAGTGATGCAACAATGAAAAGAAGCCTGGTAGCTGCAGGAGAATGAGGAACGTATTCACAATAGAAAAAAGAAGACGAACAAGCAGAGTCAAAATCTTCATCTTCTTGTTCTTAAGTAATAAGAATATTACGAACCGTGATATTCATGATACTGATAATACTGATGGTGCTGATAATACAAATAATGAGATCATCAGCGGCACGTGCATCAACTTTCGGAGGTAGGACGGTGCAGACACACGCTTTCGAAGGTGGGTGTTCTGTCTTGGGGGGGCAGGGCAGGCACGAGGTACGGGGCAGGGTCGGCCCGTCTGTGGGGATGGCCCCTGGCGCGCCGGAGTACGAGCGAATCCGCCCTGGGATCCAGAAGTTACCCGCGCCGATATGGCGCGCGTTCGTGATACGATCCTTCTGAGGTGCGAATTTCTCTAGTTGATATTCGCCTGGGACTTGGCTGATAAAGCGCTTCAGCGAGTGTAGTAAAAAGGTCCGCGCGTAGCTCTCGGATCCGCGCTGGGCCCCCCCCGATGGCACCTCTGGCGCCGCCACCAGCGCGCTCTCGCTCTGTGCGCCAGGTAGGGGGGTCCAGTGCCGGTCCGAGAAATCCGCGCGGACCTCCGACAGTTGATGTTCATGAATGCTTCCTTCTTTCGAATGCGGTCGGAAGCATCTGCTTCGCGGTTTGCGCCGCCGGTTCTGGGCAATTACGCCTCTGAGCGACACGCCGAGCATGTCCCACTTCCACAGTCATCAGCGTTCCCGGCTTTTTGTAACCTTCCGTCCAATGAGCAGAGCGACGCCCTAGTATCGGCGTCCCCCCAACATATTTATACTATGTGTTCGTCGCCCCCCCACAGGGGCGACGCGCGCACCGTATATGCGTCGTGGCGGGCGCTTTCTGGCCGCACCGCTCGGGAAACGATCTACTACAAGATGGTTAAACTATATGTTCGGGTCGGACGCACGCCTCCAAGGAGGACATATAGTATTAGAATGTCTCTGTGCGTCCCACAGTCCGGCTTTCTAACCTTCCGTCCCATGAGCAGAGCGACACCCTATTAGCTTGCCAGCGTAGCGCTTGGCAGGGGCCGCCACCGCGACACGCTAACTAAAAGTTCATCGCAGTAGAAGGGAGAGGAATGTCGTCGTCGTGGTCGTCGTGGTCGTCGTGGTCGTCATCGTCATCGTTGTCGTCGTCGTCCTCCTCCTTCATCCCCCCCTTCCTCTTCCACTCCCTCCCCAGCAGGGAGGTGGAGGTGGTGAAGAAGGAGGAAGAAGGAGGAAGAAGGAGGAGGGACACACCATTTTTTTTCGTCGGCAGCGAGGCGGGGCAATCCGCACCAGCGAAAGAGCGAACCAGGGGCACTACCAAGCTAATTGTCCGGCGTGCAAGAGCGGAAAGGGGGACAAAGGGGCCGCGGGCGGAAGGGAAGGAAGAGGCGCTCAGAGGCGGAAGAATTTCACCATGAGCGGGTCGGGGCGGCAGCGGCGGCGCAGCGGCGGCGACCAGGGGACCTGGGAGCGCGCACCGGGCGGGCCAGGGCCAGAGGCGCGTGGCAGGGCAAGGGGAAGCAGTGTGAAATCACAGGTGCCCGGGGACAGCCACAAGCAAACTGCTGTCAATCATGGTTTGCCAAGTCGTGCGATGCCAAGGCGCGCTCCTGCAGCTGCGGAGCCAGCGGCTCGGCAGGGCGCCCGGGGCGGCGCGAGGGGCAGCAGCTGGGCCAGGGGCGCGGCTGCGAGCGCCTCGGGGGGCGGGGCGGCGGCGGGGCAGCAGGCGGCGAGGGCGCGGGCCACCAGGACGGAGGTTGGCCGTCCCTGTCGCAGCGAGGGCCAATGCGACGACCAAGGATGCCAGGCCCCAAGGCGGACTGCACCACGGAGGGGGGACAGTCCGGGAAGCGGAGGGCGCGGAGCGGGGGAGGGCACTGGCGGCGGGGTGAGGAGGGAGGCGGCAGCGAGGCGCGGCAGGAGGGACGCGCAAACGCACACAGACACACACTCACACACACACACTCACACACTCACACACATCCATACACACTCACACACACACTCACACACACCAACATACACCACACCACGCACACGCACGCACACACACACACACACGCACACACACATTCACACACATATACGTGCATACGCAGACATATGTGATCTGTGAATACGTCGCGTGTATACATATATATATATATATATGTATATATATGCACATCCATTTACATCTGTTTGCACGCGTCATATGTACATGTTGTGCATCCGTGTACATGTTGTACGCATGTACACGAATATATATATATATATATATATAGATATGCACATCTTCATGTAAACACATGACTTAGTGTCTGTACAAGTGCTTCTAGATTGCTGTGTATGCGTGCCCCTTTGCGCACATGTACTTTCACACAAGCACACACCTGTACGTTTGGATACGTTCATGAATGTATTCGTAGGCATTCGTGTGTGCACATGCGTATGTCTATGTAGTTTGTCATGCTCATGTGTGTTTGCATGTCCATGTTGATGTACATGCGTCTCTGCATACATGCATTGTGTACGCACACATGGTAAACATTTATACATATTTCCGCATGGCTGCGCAGATGTATGCATGCATAGTCTGTATATATACACACACACACTTTTACTTGCACTGATCTACATCAAGTGCATTCATTTGCACATACGCGCGCACACATACACGACCCCACACACATACACATATGCGTATGCACGTAAATTTATTTATAGATATAGATAAATTATTAGTGTATATGTATACAAAGTCGTATGCTTATGCGTACAGTTGATGTACGATTATGTTACGAGTGTACGTGTGTATGTCTGAAAGTGAGTAATTATGCATGTGCGTATGCATGCATGCATGCATGCATGCATGCATTGATGTATATATGTATGTATGTATGTATGCAGGTAGGTAGGTAGGTAGGTCGGTAGGTAGGTAGGTATGCATGTATGTATGCATGTATGTACGTATGTATGCATGTATGTATCTATGTATGTATGTATGCATGCATGTATGCATGTATGTATGTATGTATGTATGGATGCATGTATGCATGCATGCATGCATGTATGTATGTATGTATGTATGTAGGTAGGTATGTATGTATGTATGTATGTATGTATGTATGTATTGTTTGTACATTTGTGCGTATATATGCATGTATATACACAGTGCGGGGAGGGTAGATGATGGGGGTCCAGGCGGCAGTACCTCGAATCTCTGATTCGGGAACAGGGCCTCTCGGGCTTGTCCCTGGCCATTGACAACAGGCCGTGGCCGCAGAGAAGCTCGGGACTCCCGAAGGGGGCGCGAGTAAGCGACAAGAGATCCCAAGGGCAGCTCGGACGTCTCCAAGACGGCTCAAAAGAGTTCCAGTTTGCTGCCAGGAGGCCTCCTGGATGCTACCACCAGGGCTTCACATTGGACTGGAAGGCATCCGAGAGGCAACGATCATGGATCCCTCGAGGGTTTTCAACTATTAGGGGGTTCTTGCGTTACCGCTGGTCAGATCGCCCGAGTCGGCACACAAGCCTTCAATATTTTTCCGAGACAGCCCAAACGGCTTCCAGGAGGACCCCAAGAGGCACCCAAGACAGCTCAAGAGGGCCGAAAATCGCCCCCAGAGGGCTTCCGCTTCCAGGGGAGCTCAAGACGGCCCGGGAGGACCCTAAGGCGGCCCATGTGAGGCTTCAGATGGCCGTGCGCAGCCCCAGGAGTCTCCAAGACAGCCCAGATGAGCCAAAGATGACCCAAGATGGCTCCAAGGCCGTCCAAGAGCCGTCCAAAATGCCCCCCAGACGGCCTCAGCTAACGCCTCCAACATGCAAAACAATTGATTGTATTAGGCTTTGGTGGGTTATCGCGCGCTCGCTTATTCGATCTTTCGAGCCTGCAGCGCAGCTCCAGCAGCCCCCGCTCCCAGACGGCCCGAAAGACTCCCAGAGAGCCCCAAGACGGGCTAAGGACGGCCTAAGCCGGCCCAGTGTGGATCCCTGGGGCGCTCAACCCTGCTTCCCAGACCGCCTCAGTGCCCTCAGAAGATCCGCATTGGTTCCTGCTGGGCCCGCCGTGGCCCACGAGCCACCCAGAACGGCCCGCGGACGCCCCAACAGCATGCCCAGGAGACCCCCCCCGCAGGCAAGAAGTTGTGGAAGTATCTCTGTTTGTCTGCATGCTTGTTTGTTGTTTTTCTTGTTTGTTTGTTCGGTTGGTTGGTTTATTCTTTGTTTGTTTGCTGTATTTATATGTGCATAATGTCTATATATATATATATTTATATTTGTGTATGTTCTTGCACTTAGCGGTTCTTGCGTGTTCCCTAAGGATCTGGGCCTGCGTGTTGGGCCACCAGCTGTGTCGCCGCCGTCGCCGCTTCGTCGCCGCCTCGTCGCCGCTAGTCGCCTGGGCTTGCGTGTTGGTCCGGCGGCCAGGTCGCCGCCGTCGCCGCCCCGTCGCCGCCGCCTCGTCGCCACCAGTCGTCGGGGCCTGCGTGTTGGTCGGGCGGCTATGTCGTCGCCGTCGCCGCCGCGTGTCCGCCTCTTCGCCGCCCCGTCTGGGCCTGACTGCCGGTCTGGCGGCTATGTCGTCGCCGTTGCCGCTCCATCGCGCCTTGTCGTGGCCTCGCATACTTGTGCTACATAGATTGCACCACGTAGGTGGCACCAAGTGGATTTTCCTTTCTCAAAAACAGTAAGGATCCCCCCCCCTCCCGGCTTTATCGGTCCACATTTTTGTGTTGCAAGTTACATAAAATTCTGCACCATCGTCCGTCTTAGATATGAGTTCGTACCATCCCAGCCACGCCGGGTTCGACCCCCCCCGTCATCTTTTGCCAAAATACTATGCGCGCGCAGTCGTCTATCAAAAGTCATAAATTTTC